CCTTTATCCCGCAAGGCGAACTTAGCGAACAAGAAAAAGCCCTCCGCCAACAACAAGAACAAGCCGATTATGAGTGATTATTAAACAATAAAACCCTCGCTGACTGACACCAGGAAGGGAAAATAAGTGATGACCAGTATCAAGTTTTAAGGGAGTTAGTTAATCCTGAACTCATGACTACTTGGAACTATTTGCTTGATTTGTTGCCGGAAAATTGAGAATGATGGGTGATAAGTGATGAGTTTAAAGAAGAAGAGTTAAGAGAAGCATGAATTCAGGCCGGTTTTAGTAGAGAAGAAATTAAAGAATGATTGGATATTGGCTTGGGAGTGGAAGATTCAGCCTTTTGTGCTTGATTGCGAGATATTAAGTGATTAAGTGCTGAGGAAGTGTTGAATTGAGGGAATATTCAAGCCTTAAAAGAAGAATTCACCCAAAAAAATCTTAATAATGATTAAAACTTTTGCCGATAAGTCTACCGAAGCACTTTTTAACGATAAATCTGTTCCTAAATGAAAGAATATTGAAAGAGTTGCACGAAGAAAGTTAAATGCTGTTCATTTTGCTGCCCAATTAAGAGACCTAACTAAACCACCTCATAACCGCTTAGAAGCTTTAAAAGGCGAATTTAAAGGAAAGTGAAGTATCAGAATTAACAAACAATATAGAATTCTCTTTGAATGAGGCAAAGATAATCATGCTTATGAAGTAGAAATAAGCAAGCATTATGAATAAAAATCTAAATATTATGACTGAATTTAAAAAATTATCTCCAATTCATCCCGGAGAAATGTTGCGAGAAGAATTTCTCGTTCCTTATCAAATTAGTCCCGAACAATTAGCCCACGATATTAGCGTTTCAGTCAGAGAAATTAAGCAAATTTGCCAAGAAAAAAAAGGAATAAGTCCTAATATAGCCACTCGTTTAGCCGTTTATTTTGATATGTCAGTAGAATTTTGATTGAATTGCCAAAAACATTATGAATTAAGATGCTCAGAAAAAGAGATTAAGCAAATCAGAAAAGAAATTCGACCTCTTAATTTAGCATCTTTTAATTAGTTTTTTTTGCCCTTATTTGCCTTATTTTAAACTATCCCTGACCCCTTTGCTTACTGAAAAGAAATTAAAATAAATATGAATGAAATGAAAATAATCTTGAAAGAAAAAAATAATGCCTAAATACACCGTAGATTACCTTTATAGTGAATTCAGCCAACTTGCCGGAATGCGTTCAGACTCAAAATACTCTAATGATGCTGGTTATTGAACTGGCGGTAGATGTAATTGAGGAGGTTCACATAATTTACGCGAAGATTGTGGAACTTTGGGAAGAGGTTTTGAGAAATTAGAGAGTTTAGATGGCGAAAAAATTACTGATGAACTAACTAAAACTACTAGCAAAAGCGAATTTGACACCAAAAAGTCTATCTTATTACAGAAAATTAATGAGATTACTGGCGACTTACAAGCTAGAACTGGTTATAGTAGTTCCATGTTTGGCGTCTGTATTATTTGAGCCGACCAAGCCATGAGTCCACATGTCGAAGATAAAATGCAAGAATGCCGAAGAGATTTAGACAATTTAAGAAGTCAAATAACAGGAACGGCTTATAAGTGAGTGGAGGAATTGAAAAGGCTCGAACTAGAAATAAGACAAATTGAACTAAAAATGGAGGAGAACAAAAGAAAAGCAATGAATGAAAAAGATCCTTTAAAGAAACAAAAGATTTTAGAAGAAATCGAATCTGATGGCAAGTTACTTCAACAAAAATATCAAGAGCATCAAGAACACTCGAACAAATTCCGATTTGACCCTAGTAAGCATGTTTCGGACATAATTGACAGAATAAAAAAAGCCATTGAAAAAAGTTTAAATAAACCTCGTGGCGATGGAAGTGATCCAGATAAACCAGGAAGACCTAATAAGCCTAATAAACCTGATGGTAATGATCCATTTGGTGGTGATGGCTATGGCAGTTTGCCGGATGGAAGTAGTTCTAATCGCATTCCTCGCCCAAGAAAGCCTAGTCAATCCGAAAATAATCAACAATTAATCATCATCGTGGCAGTTGCTACCGTGTTTATTTTCATTTTAATGAACCAAAAAGAAAAGCCTCAGCAAAGAGACTATAAAGAGGATTATTACTAATTATGACTAACCAAAACTTAGAACAAGCCAAAAACAAACTAGGCGAACAAACTCAAAAATTAGAAAATAAAGCCCAGAAACCCGGCAGTAACTCAGGCTAAAAAAGCCAAAAAACAAAAGCAGGCTACCTTGCTAATTGCCCTAGCACTAATCGGCGGCTTAGCCTATTACTTTTTCGGTTATTTACCGGAAGAGAGAACCAAAGCCAAAGAAGAAATTACCGAAATGTTCAGAGATAATTGGAACGTAACCGCAGATAAGTTAGATAAAACCCTTTGAGCCGAAGCCGATAATTGAGAAGAATATTTAGAAAATTTATTTTTACCCTCCCAAGTAAAAGCTTTTAAAGAAAAAATGCTCAAAGCCATCGAACAAAAAGCCGCCGAGCTAGAGCAAGAAGAAATAGATAAGCCACGGAAGATGAGGGAGGAAGCTATTAATAATATAAAAAACTCGTTAGAAGAGGAAGAAAAAGGATTACCTGTTATCCAGAAATTTCTAGAAAAATTTACCGAGAAAGTTAATAATGCTCCCATCAATGATTTATCTTCCGTGATTGAAAAAGCCAATAACTTTATTCTCGAAAAGAGATACAAAAGGAAAAGGCTATACTGAAAATTAACACCTCAAAACTGAGCTGATAAATGGTTAGTCAGAAACAAGCAAGGGCTTGATAATATCTGAACTGACAAAATGACAACCACATTAAAAAATGGAAGAAAGATAGAGCCAAATTATTTTGATGCCCGGGCAGTCTATCGAATTCAATTACCACCAACTTTATGAAATGAACTAACCGAAGAGCAACAAGAATTAGCCAAATCTAAAGGGCATGGTGAATTAATTTTAAGAGATGAAGTTCATGACTATAAGTTTAGCCCACTAATCGAAGAATGAGAAAACAAAGTTAAACCTAATCCAGTCCGCGGAGAAATGGATTCTAATGATTTAAGCAACCTAGATAATAATGCCCTTTTCTACGGAGCTCCACGAACCGGTAAATCAGTTATGGCCGAAAAGTTAGCTTATGAGGCTGATATTTATCCCTTAGTGGTAGTTCAAGGTTCTACTTTGACTACTAAAAAAATTCAAAAAGATATTGGGATTGACCTTTTGTTAAAATTTTTCTTTACTATTTGCAGTATAAATTACGATTTAGCAGAGGACTATGGATTTAAAAGAGAAGAAGATGGCGAGGTAAGGCATATTCTTTTTCTAGATGAAGCCGATCAAGCTTGCACGACAGATTCTTTATCTCCAAAAGATGCTTCGGCTCAATTAACTTTCCTAAAAGAATGTATGGGTAGTGATAATAAATCCGAAGAGAGCAAAAATTTGTGAATAGCGGCTACTAATCACTTAGATAGTATAAATATGGCTATTTATCAAGCAGGAAGGTTAAGCAATCCTTTAGATTTTAGCTGAACCTTAGGAGTTTTTATTTGCTATGCCGATAATGCTGGTATTAGTAACCAGTTTCCTATTCATTGGCAAGAAGCCAAAACCCTTAATGATGAAGATAACAAATGAGTTAACAGATTTAACAAGATAATTTTCGACAAAGATTTCTTACCTTTCTGACAAAAATTTATTGATCATAACCCTAATGCCGAATACGAACCCGAGAAAGATGACCAAGATAGCGGACAACAACAAAACACTAACCAACCTAAAAAAATAAAAATCAAATGAGGCGAGTTCTTTGAATTCTTTTGAAGCTTATACGATAGTAAGCAATTAGAAAGCTTTGCGGGCAAATTCGAAAACCCACGGAATCCAAAAATAGAAGAAGTATTGACTACTATGGAGCAAACTATGAAACTAACGGCTAATAAAGTTAGCGAAGATATTAGTAAAGCCATAGATTCCAGACTAAAAGAACTTGGTCAAGATGTCATCCAAATGAGAAATACTATTCAAAGCACTCATAATGCCTTAAATAGTACCCTTAGCCGGACTATGGAGGAAATCAAAGGTCGATTAACAGAGATAGGAAATAATATGGGAGGTCAAAGAAGAAACCGAAGCCCTTGATAGCCCCGCCCAAATGCCTACTAATAAATAACTAAAATTATGAACAAACAATTAAAAGAAAAAATAAATCAAACTGAACAATTAATAACTGACACCAAAGCCAACCTTAAAACCTGAGCTAACCAGATTGGAAAATATCACCAAAACTTGAAAACCCTTGCCCAACATTTAAAAGAAATTAAACAAGAATTAACTATGAACGAAAATAATAATAAACTTAAAGGAGAGAATAACTAATGAGCTTCTGAAAAACCCTTTGCACTTGTGCGGGCTGTATAGCCGGAGCAGTTTGCGTAGTTGCTTCCGGAGGCACCCTGTTGCCGTTAGTGGTTGCCGCGGGTGGTGGTGCTATTGCTGGCAACTTAATCGGTCATAAAATGGACCAAGATGAAAAGAAAACTAAGAATCAAGAGCAAGCATTAGTTAACCAAGGCAAAGTTATCGAAGAACTTAGTCAAGCCAACAAAGAAGCCAACTCAGAACTTAACAAAGCAAAGCAAGAACGCGAAGAATTAGTTGAACAGAATAAAAAAGACCAACAAGGCTTAGAACTTGCAAGAAATAAAGCTAATGACCCTAACCTTAGTGAAGATGAAAGAAAAAAATGAAGGCTGAAAGTAGTTGAAATAGAAGAAAGAATGAGTCAAAATGGCAATAAAGATAAAAAACTTCTTGAGAGAATAAAAGGACTACAAGACAAAATAAGTAATAATAATAAAACAATAGCTTCTGTTAGTTCAGGTTCTTCGAGCAAAGACAAGCATCCAATCATGGAATTTCTTACTTTGGAAAACATTCTCATAGGCTTTGCTATTTATGCTTTGTGGCAGATAGTTAAGGATGATAAGAGATATTAGACTAGAATAAACTAACTTCTTGAATAACTTTTGCTAAATCTCTAAAATTAGTTATATAAGTTCTAGTTTATGGTTGATGATGATAGAAAAAAAAGAGCAGAAGTGGCATTTAGAGAAAGACTTGATGACCTTTGTAGTGAAGTAGATAAAGATTACCAAGGAATACTTAAATTTGATGGCTCTCTAGAGGAGATTCTTGAAAAAATCAAAAATTACGATGATAACCACGAAATAAAGTGAAGAAGTTTGGAAAATGACCTTTTTATACCTTATAAGTTAGCTGATAGGATTGACATTTGCCAAGCTAGACAGCAGATGGTATTCTCGGATAGTTATCGCGGACTTACACTTATTAAGTTTGGCTTATTAAAAATCAAAGATAGCACTTGCAATAAATGCAGAAATCAACTAACAAAAAATAGTTGCTATGTCTACTGTTACAAAAACCAAATCGAAAGATGAACTATCGAACAAGCACAAAACTTTAATTCGGAAGATTTTTATCCTCTCTTCTGCTCCGAAAACTGTTTTAAACAAAGCACTTATTATCAAGAAAATAACCAATCTAGCAGAGAGAGAGAGAGAGAGAGAGAGAGCAAATCTAACCAAACAAAGCAATACCAATCTGAAAATACCCCAGAACACCAAGAACCCCTCTACTGCTCAGGCTTAGGATGCTATAAGGAAATTCCTAACCAAACTTATTTCCAAAATAAATCTAAAAAAGATAATAAAAAATTCTGTTCTAAACAGTGCTACACTGATTATTACGGAGAATATTGTTATGAATGCATGAATAAATTCCTAATGGAAAATCTTTATGCTCCAATTAAAGGAAACTCTCGTTATTTACTTTGTTTACCTTGTTGAGAAAAGAAAAAACAAGAAGAACGAGAAAAAAACAAAAAATATTGCTTTAAATGCCAAGTAGAATTAACTGATTTTAATAATAAAACTCCGCCTTTTGCTATTTGTGATTTTTGTTTTGAAAAAGATTTAGAGCAAGCAAAAATGAACTCGAACGAGAACAGAACAGAACCGCAACCAACTATAAACCAAATAAAATCTCTCTTCGCTCAACTTTTAACCCAAATTCAAGCCACTCATAGCCCTAATTCTCCGCTTTATCAAAAAGCTTTAAAAGAACAAAAAGAAGCCTTAACTATACTAGAAAATGCTTCAGAAAGTAAACAGGAAAAATATTTAAGTTTAATTAGGCAAATTGAGCCTTTATTAACTAAACCTAATCTCTCGCTTGAAGAACAAACTAAATTAAACCAAACTGGACAAAAAATGGATGAGATGATGGAGAAGTTGAGGGTGAAGAAGGTTAAAGTGGAGCAAAGGAAGAATAATCATAAGTTATGATTAGGAATTGGTTGTGGAGTTTTAGGATTAGGATTGATTAGTTTGCTCGTTTATTTAGTGAGGAAGAAAAGATAATGCCTAAAAATTGAGCAGATATTCATGAAGTTTTTGCTAAAAAAGAATATTCTTGAGATAATAAAACTTACCAGCAAGAATGAGAAAGAAAGGGCTTAACTTACCAAGAGGTTGAATCCTGAATCAAGATTGGCTTAAAACCCGAAGAATATAAATTTGCTTTTTATTTGAAACAAAATCATTATCAGATATCCACTAATAACCTAGAAACTTTACGAGAAGAATTTTATCGCAATGCCCAAACTTGATTAGTTTGAAATTTTCCCTTTGAAGAAAGAAACCAAGTCAAAGAACTAGATATTGAAAAGAAAAATCTCTCGGGAATCCTCGATCTCTCTGATTTTACTAGTTTAAAAGGATTATATTGTTCTTACAATAAGTTAACTTCTCTAAATGTTAGTAACTGCTCGTATTTAACCGAACTTTATTGCGATGATAATTTATTAACTAATCTCACTTTGCCTAATAATCTTACTAATTTAAAAAGGTTGAAATTAAGCAATAATAACTTTCCTTCCCAAGATTTATCTTTTTTGGCGGGGGCGATTAATCTAGAAGAACTTGAACTAGGAAATAATAACAAGGAAAAAATCAACCAAGGTATTTACAATAAGTTTACCGATTCTTTGAATTATTTAAGTGAAATGAAACAATTAAAAGAACTTGTTATTAGCAACACTGATCTAAACGAAGTGGATATAACTAAATTACCGAATAGTTTAAGAAAAATTGATTATTTCGCTAGAGAAAGACCAAGCTGTAAATTAATTGAGATTATTCCTCATTTAGAGAATTATAATAAGCATGGATTATGTAAAAAATGTCAACAGCCTAATACTAGCGAAAATTGATGCCAATCTTGTCAAGAAAAAGAATGACAACAAGGCTTAGAAAAATTAACTGGGCAAGAATTAGTTGAGGAGTTTATCCATCAACAGCAATCAAGAGACACCGATGAAGACAAAAAATTAAAATGAATTCCTTACGAGCAGTTTATTAATGTTGAATATCTAGCCGAGGGTGGTTATGGAAAAGTTTATAAAGCTAAATGAAAAGGAAAAGAAATTGAAAAATGAAACAAAGAAGAAAAAAAATGAGAAGAGTTAAACTATAGAGATGTGGTTTTAAAGAGTTTAAATAATTCTCAAAACATAACTTTGGAATTTTTGCAAGAAGTTGCTAATCACAAGTTAGTTGGAGAATCTACTAATACTAGGTTGTTTATGAGTGGCGTTTTAGGATGTTATGGTCTCTCCCAAGACACCGTAACTAAGAATTATGTGATGGTGATGAAATATATGGAAAATGGCAACCTAAGACAATGTTTACAAAACAAAACTAGCGGACTGTTAAGTTTTAGGGATAAACTCAACAAATTATTAAATATTACTATTGGGTTAGGTAACATCCATCAACAAAACTTAGTCCATCGCGACTTACATAGCGGAAATTTATTAAGTTCTAGCTTTTCAGATATTTATATCACTGATTTAGGCTTATCTCAACCTATTAACTATCAAAAAAAGGAAAGTGAAATTTTTGGAGTGCTTCCTTACCTTGATTCTGAAGTTTTGCAGAAAAAACCTTATGCTAAATCTAGTGATATTTATTCTTGAGGAATAGTGGCTTATGAACTATTTACTAATTCTTATCCTTATCCGGAGTCAAATGATTTGGACTTGGCTTTAAGGGTTTGTCGAGGAAAGAGACCTAATATGAGCAAGTTAAAAATACCTCAAGAACTCAAAGGTTTGATTAAAAAATGCTGAGATATTGATCCCATAAAAAGACCGACAGCCGGAGAATTACAAAAGATCATTATGGACTGGATAACAGAAATTGAACTCAAAGAAAATACCCTATTCTCTAAACAATATCGAGAAATAGAAGCTGAATATAACTATTTTTCTCAAACCGCTCCTTATAGGATGCATCCTACTGCTGTTCTAAATAGTAAACTAATAGATACTAAAAAAATAACTCAGAAGTTGCAAACTGAGCAATACTCTCAAGCAATAGATTTTACCGAGTTTAACCTAGAAGATGAATTTGAAGAAAACCAACAACCAGAAGAAAAAACTTTCGCTGACTGAACCAATCTCCACCCCTCTTTCACCCCCGAACTAATCCAATCCTGAACTGACCACCACTTCACCCTCGAACAAACTCGCCACTGAATAAACATCGGTCTAACCTCCCAAGACTACGCTTTAGCCGCTTATTTACGAGACACCAAACAACTAACCCCCGAACAAGTTCTAAACTTTGCCGACCTTCAAACCCTAAAACAAGAATTTCAAAATCAACAAACCCCCCAAATCATCCACAAACCAACCTAAACCTTTATTTTCACCACCCAAATCACCTTTCCATACAAAAACTACTCAACCCCTAAAAACCAGTGCTAAAACAAGCTTAATTAACCTTATTCGGGCTTGCTTTAAGTTTTGCCCACTTCAAGCCATGTTCGTTTTTTTCTTGTTCGTTCGCTCCGGGCTTTTTATTCGGTTTTTTTCTTGCTTGGTTTCATTCACTTAAATATGTTCGCTTACCTCGCTCGTCCTTAGGGCTTTATTTGCCTTTTCCTAGCTCAACTCCGTTTAATTAAGCAGGCCGGCTGGCTTGCTCGTTCTCTGGGCTTTAATTGTCCTTAAACTAATAAGCATCCTCGTTAACAGCTAACTTCTAAACTAACCTTTCCTCGCCCGCTCGGACAACCTTTTTTAAACCCAATCAAACTTGTTCTAAAGCAAAACTCCCCGGTAAAAATAGTTTAGTTTTCAAATGTTTTATTCGCCGCCTTTCTTTTCTTTGAGTTTTCTTCTCTGGTAAAAGCATCCTTGATAAACGCTTCGTAACCTAAAGTCTACTACGCTTATAATGCTTATTTAAAAAAGAAAACTAATAATAAAAGAAAGGATCCAAAAGCCCACTTACTAGGGCTAACCTTTTTTATTTACTTTGTAAATAGTTTCCCTAAAAGCCCACTTCTCTTACCCTTTTAAGCGAAAAAAAGCCTATTCTCCTACTCACTAGTCTTCAAAATCCATAAAAAACTAAAAAAAGCCTACAAGCATAATTTAAGGCGCTATCCGTGCGGCTGTTGTGACTGAACCCGCGCCGACCGGAAGTATCGCCAAAGTAAACTAAACTAATCT